ATTATATATATATATATATATATATATATATATATATATATATATATATATATATATATATATATATATATATATATATATATATATATATATATATATATATATATATATATATATATACATATACACATATATATATGCATATATATATATATATATATATATATATATATATACATGTATATGTATATATATATATATATATATATGTGTGTGTGTGTGTGTGTGTGTGTTTGTGTTATGTGTGTTGTATTAGTGTGGGCTGTATACGTTGTACTCGTATATGAGTGTGTAATGTGTTTATAGTGCACATACTACAAGTATGCTCGTTTATGTTTTAGATCTGAGAGTACTGGGTATCTGGGATTGACCCAAACGATGCGTTCGTTCAGATGCGTTTCCAGCTCACAATACATATGCACTTAAGTCGGCTCTGTATCCAGAACCCTAAACCCCTAAACCCCTGAAACTCTAAAATCTAAAACCTTAAAACATCTTGCTTGTCAGTTCTGTTCTGTCGCAGTATGTGGACACTCCGTAGTGGGCAGTGCACACGACGAACAGTGTGTGTATCCTGATATGTACTTGCCTTATATGTACTTTCCTTATATGTACTTGCCTTATATGTACTTTCCTTATATGTACTTGCCTTATATGTACTTTCCTTATATGTACTTGCCCACATACTCGCCTGTAACGCTATACCACACCCACATACTCGCTTGTATCTCTATACCATACCCACACTCTCATATATCCATGCGTGTTCGCTCTCAGTCTGCTGTCCACAAACTGGGAGCCCCCACTGCCGCCATTCGCCCGCGCACTCCAATTGAAGGGCCCACTTTGGCTGAACGCTTGCAACGCCATCCCCAGACACAGGTGAGTGTAGTGTGTGATAGTATTACACTAGACTAGAGTGCGCAGTTGTGTATTGTGTATGTATAGTGTGTGATTGTATTACACTAGAGTGCGCAAGTGTGTATAGTGTGTGATCTTGTTGTATTTATAGTGTGTGATAGTATTGTGTATAGTGTGTGATAGTATTGTGTGTATAGTGTGTGATAGTATCGTGTGTGTGATCTGTGATCGTATCGCGTTTGTATTTCTTAGTACGGGTGGTCATGCTGTGTGGTAGTACAGTGTGTTTGTGTTGGGCGTGTGATGTAGTTTGATATGGTTTGTTATGATAGGATATCATATTGTAGTATATCATATATTTTATCATATTGTATAATACTGTACCATATTATATCATATTGTATCATATTACATTACATCATATCATACCATATCATATTTCGAGTATAAGACTTGTGTGAGTTGCGGTGGAGTGTGTTTGTAGTGATGCGAGTGAGTGCTTCTATTTTAAGACCAGTGTCTGCAGGTGTACTAGGCCAGTGCATACTTTGCAACTCATTGCCACATGCGTATATAGCGCCTTTCTTAGTTATCTCGCAGCCGTGTCTACGCAACTCGCTGTCGGTTGCCGTAGTTTGTCCTGCTTGGAAATTGTCCGCGTTTCATTTGCTGCCTATTGTTTCATAGTGTAACTGACCTATACGCAATCGCCTTAGTTTGTCCTGCTTGACATTTGTCCGTCTTGTATTTGTTGCCTATTGCTTCATAGTGTTACACAGCTGTGCCACGTGTGCGTACGTAGTTTATAGCCCTTCTCTCGCCATATGTTCATTTCTCGTCGACTGTCAATTCGTTATTATCATGCGAGGCCTCTGATCCATCCCCGTCTGCTTAGGCTCTATAGTTCATTCCTGCTTAATTTTAATTGTCCATCCCTCGTAGTCCGTTCATCCTTTGCTTACTTCCTTACACTCCACCCATCGTCCCTCAGGCCCAGGCTCAGGCCCACCCCACCACCGCGACTAAGCCTCAGTTGTATCTGCGGCAAATCACTCCCAGTGGTCGCACGTCGCCTAGCAACGGCAGTGGCAGTGGAGTGAGTAATGGCCAATCCACGCCAGTGAATGGGTCAGTCGTCTCAGCGGATAGGAAATCCGTTGGTAGACAGGCGGCTGTGGCAGGCTCTGCTGGGGACAGGCCGGACGTGAATGTGGGTTGGTTGTGACGTTAGTGCGAGTGACTGCGTATGTGTGTATGTATACTTGGTGTATGGGTGCGCGCACGTGTATGTGTGCATGTATATATATATGTGTGTGTATGTATATATATATATGTGTGTGTGTGTTGTGTGTGTATGTGTGTGTGTGTTGTGTGTGTGTGTGTTGTGTGCGTGTGCGTGTGTGTGTGTGTGTGTTGTGTGCGTGTGCGTGTGTGTGTGTGTGTGTGTGTGTCAGTGCATGTGGTATACACTTGGTAGTAGGCTGTGCGTATGTGTATGCGTGTCATTGATATGACAGTAGCAGGTGGGTTGTCTCGGCCGCTCCTCCTCAGTGAGGTATGCGTCTGCGTATAGTACCAATACAGCCGATGCTAAACAGTTGATCATCGGAAGACATGTATAAGATCCCCTTAGTCCAGTTGTATCGGTCGGTTATCTAGGGGCCGCCTTGCACTTCGCGACACAAAAAAAGGACTTTCGGTGCCAAATGGGGCAGAACCAAAAAAATGGCTTTTCAGTCATGTTGAAAAGGAGCTGGTGCTTCTCACATGCACTGGTTTTCGTATCATTGATGTACGTATATGTAGATGTGTATACGCTTATTTGTCATCTTTTCTCGGTGGCTGTAGTAGTGGTAGTAGGGAGAGGGTTTAGGGTTCTAGGGTGGAGGAGTGGCTGACCCTTTCAGTACAGCCCCACCAGTAGTAGTAGTAGAGCCACATCCGTTGCACAGTCGAGTGTACACAATGACGCCACTCTGCCTACACTCAGACTCACAGTACTCACTACATTCAACCACATCCTCAGACACTCACAGTACACACTACACTCAACCACATCCTCAGGCACTCACAGTACACACTACACTCAACCACATCCTCAGACACTGACAGTACTCACTACACTAAACCTAATCCTCAGGCACTCCGCGCACCCAAGAAGAGCTCAAAGACAACAGTGGACATCTCACTGGACGTGTTTGTCAACGACAGCGAATACTCCATGCCTACAAAGTTTGCTAAGGCTGCCACACCACACATCATTGTGCCTATCACCAGCGAAGACACCCTTCCCGCCAGAGGTACGTCCGTGTGTGTGCAGGTGTATATTGTAGACATGTGTATTTATATGTATATAAATTTTATCTTTCCATACTGTTCTATTCACGACCGCAACCATATATCTGTGGCATTCTGAACTTCATATCTGGCATTTTTCCGCAGGTGCGAAAGTGGCCATCGACGCCGAGTTCGTTGCACTGGAGATGGAAGAGGCGGCTATCAGGTGCAGTGGATGTTCTTGTTTGTAACTGTGTACTGCACGTCTTTATTTGTAACTGTAGTGCATGTAATCGGGAAGTAGGTGTTGCGCTTAGTATGCACTCAGGTAGAGGAGTTTATTTATAACTGCGTAGTACGTTTTTGCGTATCATAGATTCGAGTAGTAGGTTTTGCGCTTAGTATATATTCAGATGGATAGCTTTTTCGATAACTTCGTAATCCATTTTTTACGTATCATTAAGTCAAGTAGTAGGTTTTGCGCTTAGTATGTAGGGTTTAAAACCCCTTAAAAAACCGTGACCATGTCGTTGACTGCGTAGTACATGAGCCTGTACATTGCTCCGTGTAGAATAGCCAGTCAGTCGCTGATAAAACATTCTTGCTCAAGGGTGTTATAGTGTTTAGGGTTTAGGGTTAAGATCAACGTATTTCTACCACATGATGTGCGGGAGTGTCGCGTGCGGCCATAGCCAATGCATTCATATTCCCAATGTACCAGCGCTCGTCAGGAATGTGTCTGTAGGTAGACCACTCCCTGCGTGTCCGTTCTATTGAAAGACTCGCTCCGAGCATAGAGCATCATGTCAACGTTTCTGTTTAAGAACTTGGACCCGTGTGTGTGTTCTGTGTATAGATTTAAATCCGTGTCGGGTTTTGTATTTTTAATCCGCCTGCACATTCTATTTACGGCCTCACCTCTGTGGATGTGTTATATTCATACACTCGCACTCACCCATATTATCTATCCACAGACGGACATTCACACCCCTGCATATGTACCCACACTGACCCATACCCCACAGACTGACATCCACTTTCGTGCATATGCCCCATTGATACTTCCACACCCATCCCTATCCTCTATCTATTCGTAGATTCTTTCTCATCCGTATCCACTCATACTCCTCTCTAGATCTAACGGTGCTAAGTCCACCATCCGGCCGTCTCAGCTGTGTCTGGCGCGAGTGAGTGTTCTGTGGGCCGAAGGGACGGCCATAGGCACGGCCTTTATAGACGACTACATCTACACAACTGAGCCGGTGACTGACTATCTCACGCAGTTCAGCGGCATCAACCCAGGCGATCTCAACCCCGCTGTGTCTAAGAAACACCTCGTCAGTCTGAAGGTGTGTCCCAAGCAGTGGGGATGAGGCTATATTTATGTATGTATCTATGTATCTATGTATGTATCTATGTATCTATGTATCTACGTATCCATGTTTGTATGTATCTATGTATTTATGTGTATGTGTATGTATGTATCTATGTATGCATGTATGTATCTATGTATATATTGTTATTGTTATTATTATTATTATTCATATATATGTGTGTGTGTGTATGATGTATGT